GGAGAGAAGCATTATGCCAAGTGGTCAACATTCCGTGTTGAAGGTGAAGCTAACAATTACAGACTACATGTTTCAGGATTCTCAAGCCCTACATTGGTAGACAGAATGAGAATCCACAATGGACAACAGTTCAGTACTCGAGACCGTGATCATGACTCATGGAGTGGTGACTGTTCTAATACACACAAGGGTGGTTGGTGGTATAACAGGTGTTACTGTGTCAATGTCAATGGATTGTATGGACGTAGTGATAGAGACCGCACTGGTGTAGTGTACTATCATAACGGGTACAATACTTTGAAGTTTGTGGAAATGAAGCTAAGAAAGCGTGGATAAAACCCAATGCACTACTAGATTCACTTCACACTGCGCTTATTTGCATCCAAATGCAACATACTGCACGTCTTAACTAGTTTCCTCTTTTCATTATGTCTTTAGAAATGTTTAGACCTCTTTCCACGCTTACAATTTCTTTGCAGAGAGGCAGCATGCCATTCGATTCTCAGTCGCGAGATTCTACAAACCATCGATGCTTTGTTTAACATAATATTACTCCACACATTCACTAAGTGAGTGTTTGCCATTTAAGAGCATTGCTCCAGTTCCTTCGCCACCATAAAACACATTGATCTCCTTGGAGCGCTTTCGTTTTATACTTTTTATCAGCGAGCCATCGTGGTTTCAAGAATATGATCACTCTTTGTAACGAACGGTAATTTTCCTCTCTACTTCAGCCACCCGCATTCTCTCACTAACCACCTGAACATTAACCGTCTAGCACTAGCCACTTCAACTGTTTTTGTTTTGCATGACTAATTGCTTAAACCAAACACACAGTAGAATGACTCGCGAGCAAAAGCTGACGTTCAATTGAGGGGTAGAAACACTATCAAAAATGTCTGTGACATGCACGGTAGGTAAGAACTGTTTCCTGGTGCCTCTATATCTTTTATTTTGAACTATGTGTGGCTCCTCCGTTCTTACTAAAGACTGTGGGTGAAAGTTGGCACTGAGATCCCGAGTTCGAGTACTCTGATCTTCTCCGATCGTATATTCGAGTAAAAAAGGGGAAGGACAAAATGTTACGAGTTATGACTACCGTTAAGTCTGGGATAAAAGTAACTGTCTACCAACGTTGGTGGATAGTTAGGCATAACTCGTAACATGTTGTCCTCCTTTTTCACCATACTTTAATTGGATTGTGGCACCATCCGAGTTGAAGACAGAGAGTAGAGGAAACATGGAAAAAGAGAGCAATACCTACATGTAGATACTAGATAGGTGCGATTAGACTGTGTCAGTAGTCCACATTCAGTTCTCGGCGCGCAGGTAGCGGTATACCTGCGTCTTGAATGCCTGCTATCGGCTGCGATGGGGAGGATGCAGGAGCAGATCACAGGGCAATGCATTCCACTGGTGGAGCACACAGTGGGGAAATGATCGCTTCAGGACTAACGGGGTAGAGGCTGGCGTCCAGGTGAAACTGGTGGCCGGCAGCGCTGGCATGGTCGCTCCGGGTTCACGGGGTGGCCAACTGCTGACGGTGAGCTGGCAGAACCACAAGAAGTTGAGGTGGGCCCGTAATTACTTGTAGCTTGTATAAACAAGCTAGGGCAGCTACTGTCCGTCTGATTGCCATACTGGGCAGGATTGCTCCCGGACCGATGATTCTGAGGGCGCTGTGCTGGACTCGGTCCAGTCGGCTGAGTTGGCTGGGTGACGCTCCAATCCAGATAAGTAGGGCGTACTCCAGCAGGGGACGAACGAATGCCTTGTAAACTGGAAGGATCCGGTTCGGAAAGGTCCAAGAGGGGAAGGAACGTGCAACGAAGAAGAGCACGAGCTACGCCCCACGGCAACAAAGAATGCCGAAAGTTACTGGATAAAGAATAAAGTAGTTCCACGCGACGCACGTTTCGCCGTATATGTCATGACGGCTCAAAAGGTGTGCAAACTCGAACTCGGATGGTGATCCAATCTTATTATGGTAAAAACGGGGAAAGACAAAATGTTTCGTTGTATGACTAACTGTCCATTAACATAACCAGATCATATACAGTCAAGAAGTGCGACAAAATGGCAGAAAACTGACAAGGTGAAGTGAGACATTTAAGTGACCTGACACGTAATTCCAACATATCTCCAAGATACAAACCAATAACCTTCCAACACTGCAAGATGAGGCTCGGAAATGTCTCAGTACTCCTTGTCAGTTTTGTGCCATTTTGTCACACTCGCTGACTGTATAATTATGATCTGGTTATGTTGGTAGACAGGTATTAATCACTCTTAACATGTTGTCCTGCTCCTTATTTAACATAATTAAATTGGCTCACCATCCGAATTCAAAGATAGTAAATGTTAGGGATTTTGTAAGTTCAAACTTTAACCGCCAAGTTTTGTTCCACAGCAAAGGTCATGCAACCAGTCTGCAGGTGATCAGAAGTACTGGCTGATGGAAGAATAGTGAAGGGCTTTGTCATGAGCATTGGTACTAGACACAACTACATTGGGCAACATACCTATCAGCGGGATCGTACACAAAGGAGAGAGTATGGGCCAGAATGCTGTACTTGCGCACACCAGATAAGAGAGGGCGAACTCGGGATGGTACTTTAATAATAATAATGATAATAAAAATAACAGCTCGCATGTACCCCATGGGGGAGATCAACCATTGGGCTAACGCCTCTGTCGGCAAAAAAGAGTTAGAGAAAAGGAGAAATACATGACATACACATCTTCTCCATTCTCTTATTGCAGGAAAAACTACATCGATTCCACCATGAGCCTAGGCATGAGGAATATAATATTAAGTACAGAATGTTAAATAACATTTAACCAGTTAATAACCAGTTAATAAATTTTATTAACTGGTTATTAACTGGTTAAATGTTATTTATCAAAAAGATATTTGAGTAAGCGCAGATATTTTAGGCATTATGAGTTCGTACATTGATTCACAATGCCGAGCCTAGCTTCCCTGTCTTGAGAGATAGCTTCCGCTTCGGCAATGGAAACGTTTATTGTCTTTAAGTCATTCTTGATGTTGTCGATCTATCTGGTTACGGGGCGTCCTCTGGGCTTCGTGATGTCTTTGGTGTCGATTGAAAGTCTTAGAGCTTTGTAGGATGATGAGTCACTGCCTTCTCTGATTACATGGCCGAACCATAACAAGCGCCGTTCCCTGCATGTTCTGGTGATAGGCAATTGGCTGAACAGCTTGTATAAGTTTTTATTCGATATTATTTGGGGATACACTACGCCAAAAATGGTACATAGTAGCTAGTTTGCGGCGATGCCACGTGTCGATTCTGTTGCCGAGTGCTGCTGTCAAGGTCCACAGGCCACAGTTGTAAGGTAGAACCGGAAGGATAAGTGTGGTAAACATAAGCAATGTAGATATTAAAGTATGGCTCTTCCAGGGTATAGTGCCAAACGCTCGATTAGCCGCATTGATACGGTTCTCGATCTCACTTCCAGATCCCAAGAGAATTCCAAGTAGTTTCGTCTTTCTCCATGAGTCATCATCCTTGGAAGGAGTTACAAATTGAGTTTTTGTTAGATTTAATCTCAGGTCATCCTGGGGGGAAATTGGCTCACATTTCGCTGCAGCGGCCAACACAGCATCACGATCAGTGTCGTGTATTGTGGTGTCATCTGCATACTGTGAGAAATGAGTAGGCAGGCATGAAGGGGAGGTGCAGGGTTCTCTCACCTGCCTCATCGCACCTTCTGCGTAGACAATGAACATGGCCGGAGACATCGGGTCTCTCTGAACCACGCCAATTTTGGTCGAGAAGGGAGCACTGAGCTGCCAGGCAATCTTCACCCTAGCTGTCGTATCGGAGACTAGCAATTTCATCATTGAGGTGGGTACACCCGAAGCGGCCATTCGATCAAGCGCCTTGCCATGGTTCACTGTGTCGAATGCACCGCTGCAATCTAGTAATGCTGCCGAATAGTTCCAATTTCCTAGCAATGTTCTCACACACAGAGACCACACACAGAAAACCCCATTAGCCGTTGAGCGACCAGGTCTGAAACCGGCTTGTGACTCGTCCACAAATTGCTGAATATTTATGCTAATTCTCTTTGTGATTATGGTTGTAAGGACTTTCCGAACCACTGACAATAGCTTTACTGGTATGTAAATCTTCGGGGCTCCCTTCGGCTTGCCATTTTTGTATATTGGCACAATAATTCCAGTGGTCATGTCGGCTGGCCAGTGGTGTAATTGGCGAATGACATTGAAAAAGGAGGACAGCCAACCAGCTAGAATGTCAGAACCTGATACTTTAGAAACAACTAATGGTACTTGCAGATGACGGTCGCAGTGATACGCTTAGTTAGCCATGGAAGCAAAGACCCATTGAAGAGGTAGCCAGTGATCTTGTAAAACCGGCAACAGCGTGACACCTTTTCAGATGTTAAATCAGTATCTACTGCTACTGCAAGGACTACGCTGCGAGAGTTAATAGTGCGTAGCAACGCAGAAAGATTCAGCAGGTCTATTACCACTAGAGCATTTGGCAAAAGCCAAACCTGGTACTCAGCTAATTGTTTCATGATGCTAATAATGATGCTCTGCATGACTTTAGATTTGAACCTTCATGTGCAGTGCAAATCCGTCCTGCTTTGTGGGATCCTGAATCTAAGCCCATGATGAACAACTTTGAATCGCCCAATTTCCGTTATAAGAAGTAGGATACTTTTTCAACTGCATTGATACACGATATTGGAATGGTTCGAGCTATGTATTTGTGGCATTGAGATACCGATGATGGCACTTGCCTGTGACTGGAATATACAATCATGTATATGTACATGTACGCAGGACTTGAGCGGATCGGTCACCGGTAAAGGGCGAATGAGCAGAATACTCGCATTGCAATGCTTAGGCTACGAATTCAGCAACCTGAACCTGTTGAAGTGCCAGCCACGCTGAAACTGCTATAAATCGTCTACATGCTTTAAGTCAGGCAGAAAGTGAAGCTACCCCTGGTGTAGCACTGTCTTCGCCTATTCATAATGTTAACAGTTTCGAAGAAGGTTGCCAATCTCGCCCTCTCCAAACCTAGTTTGAAGCAAAGCAAAATAACAACCGTCCTTCCTATCTCTCCACAGGGACTTGAGAGGGTGCAACTGAGACAAATATTATTTTAAATGTAAGTCTGCTGATGGGGCACGTGGAACCACTGCAGGTGATAATGTTGTTGTTGACAGTGGCAGCAGTGATGTTGTCCGTGAACACGAAGATGACTCTGGGCAGGAGCATTGAAGGCGAAACAAGGAAGCCGGCTACTAATGCCACAGGCAAGTGACTTTTCCTATTTGAAGCCTTTTGAAACCAGATATCACTTTGCAGTACTGTACCCACGCGATTAGGTCTCCGGGGAGCAAATTTTTCAAATTCCATCAAAGACGGGGCACTATGAAAGAGAGGCCATTATTCAAGAGAGGGTAGCATTATTATAATACTATTTCCAATTCTGGTACGTTTACGTCATCCAGCATAAAACTAAAAAAGGCAAATAGAAACAGAGAACAGGTAGAGATCGTCTATATAATTATAATGATAAAAAATTAAAAAAATTAAATTATCGTGTCCGTTCCCGAAGGGAACTCACGACGGCCGCTAGCACCCGGTAAACCCGAGCGGCAGATGCAGCGCCTAACGGCGGGGATGAGGGGATAAGTCTCACAACCACTGGCACAAGTACCAAGAAATTAGGCCCTGGCGGATAATGCTCGAAAGGTGGCAGATTCTGCTCGGAAAGCAATGAAATTGGCAGGACCACACAAACTTTATCTGCTCCATTTCTTTATCCACATACCAAACATGCATGACACTTGCCAGAAAAAGTACCGAATTCTGCCAATTTTTCTGCCGGCATTATCCGCCAAGGCCTACCAAGAATGACCCCATTAGCCGCATCCATGTACCCCACTTGTGACCCAAGTTCCCAGTTGACTGTGGGTAGCAGCACGGCTTGTAAAACCGCTCCTAGGCACGAATTGAACCAGGTACCTCTGGTATCTCAATCGTAGTCTTTGACCAACCCACTGTGCCTGCCTGGTACATATATAATAATATACAATGTACATGTTATCAGTTTCCTCTGAGACAAAAATGCGATAATACTCATAAAAAGGACACACTTCAGGCTCATTACAAACATCTTGAAAGTTTTTGTGAAGACAAAAACTTTCAAGATGTTTGTAATGAGCCTGAAGTGTGTCCTTTTATGAGTATTACATGTTATCAGCTTCAAAATTCAAAAGTAAAAATATTCTTTCCACTCACACTAGATCGGTTATAAGAGTACCCAGCTATAGCCATATATCGCCTATTTTGATCAAATTCTCACTTCAAAACTACTCAACTCCATAAATTATGGAGCGTTTATAGTAATTGATGGTACGGAGGAAGTTTTGGAAAACTGATATTGTGAACATGCTGTGTACTGCCAGAAGTGAGAGTAGATACAGGTTGTTGTTGTTTGTACTTTAAAGGTCTCGGTATGGTATTTACATGCACATGTATGATGCACGTCTGTTTCAGTGCTTGTGTATGCCATCATTACTACAAAGTGGTAAAGTTACCACTTACATACTTTTAAGTACTCACTCAACATGGCCGATCACACAGCATGGGGCTGAGTTCCCAAAACCAAGAAAAACACAAACGCACAGGAGAGAAGCGAGAAATGGCAACTAATCTCGCGAGATACTTTTAAGGTATGGTTCAGTGGACTCCTAGCTAAATTATCTGCAATATACAAGGTTTCCTGAGCGTCTCTGGCGTGGATCACGGACAACCTAACAGATAGAATTCAAGCTGTGTCAGTCGAAGGGGTTGCTCTCAGACCCACTGCCTGTGAAGTCGGGAGTCCCCCAGGGATCTATACTGGGGCCTCTAATATTCTTGTTGTATATAAACGATCTACCTGAAGGTGACACCTTTTCGAAAGCTGCAGCAGTGTCTACTGCTACCGGAAGGACTGCTCTGCGAGAGTTAATAGTGCGCAGCCATTCAGAAGATTCAGCAGGTCTACTACCACTAGAATATGGCAGAATGCAAAAATGGTTCTCAGCAAGATGGTTCATAATACCAATGATGCTCTACATGACTTCATGATTAAACCTACGTGTGCGATGCATATCCGTCCTGCGATGCGGGAAACCAGCTACAACTGAAACTGGATATCTACCATCATGATTATAGGTTTTACGGCAAGAGTGGGTACAAGATCATTTCCTAAAACAGGATTGGCGTGAAAGTGATTGGTTGTCGTTGGGAAAAACCTGAATTTTGAAGCCAAGTCACCGTTCGTGGAGCTGAGTCACCACAACGAGTCTTTTCTAGATAATCAGCTGAACGCTGATCGAAGTCAAAATGAACCTGCGGACAACTACTAGCCTCTCTGTATGGGTTGCATTGTTGTTAGCGGAGTCGTTTCGTGGTGGTCTCTCGAGGGCCGCCCTTACAGGAGACCACTCCAGTAATGGAAATGCAACAGGTGAGAGCATTATCATAGCGATGTTAGTTTTCGTCAATACACCCAACAACATTTTGCCTGGGGACTGGTCGGACAAAGTTAAACTCTCGGTTGTCACAAGCTTTTTGTCACAAGCTAGTAAACTCTTGGCACGCTCTTGGTAAACTCTTTGGTTTCCTTTTGGTGATGTATTTTACTTGAATGGATCAAATGCGCTGCAGTGATTGTGGCTAAAAGCATATGTATTCGTTTTTTGTGAATTTGTTTTAATTTTTTTGTGAATTAATAGGTGTTGCGGAGTCGTGTATGGCACGAGTTCTTCATCTTCTACCATCTACAACTCTTCGTCTTAGCATCCAGGACACAGAGACACTGCTAGCAAATCTACGTGAACCCATTGATCAGCTCAACTACGCGAACGCTGACACAGCATCCCTATCTGCTTTGCTAGGTGGACGTCAGAATGCTGATATGTTGGTTCGGTGTCTGAGTAAGTCTACTGATTTGATCTACTACACACACAGTGTTCTTCTAATGATCTGATAAGAAACGTACAAGTCTATTTGTGTAACCATTGCACACTCATAGCCCTGGTCCGTCAGGCTTCAGGCTATTTATGTACTTCGAAGTATGTGAAACTTTCGGACTCCGTGACGCATCAGCCGTACCAGACCAGTCTTTACCGAGTCTGGCTTTGCACCAACCTCAGCGAGCAACATAACAATGTCATGTTTTTCATTTAATTGACAATGCTCGTAACCAATTAGTTTATTAGTATTTTAGTCCTGTCAATTGGGAAACCGTGGCCTGGCACGAGGGAAATAGGGATGCAGCGAATGGGATTTTTGGTCTTTGACCACTTTGTGGTGGGTCTGATCTACTCACCTCCCAACGCTTTAGGAGCTGCATCTGCGCCTTGACCCAAAAGGGTGGTGGCGTTCCTGCAGATGAGGAAAACTCAGCTTCCAGCCAAGTCTCATGTGAACTGTGATTGTTTTGTCCTGGTGTATTGGGTTTGAACCACGAATTGGTATATCAATTCTTTTAGCATTAAGGAATGCTCTTGCGTGCTAGCACCGATACTCAAAAATAGATAGTTCTATTAACTTTATCAAGACACTTTTTGTCTCGAATTTGACTATGGTTTTATGCAGGTGGGCAACTTGAGCAATGTCGTCAAAGTCACCCATGCAGCAATGCCGGAAAGTGCATTTTCAGCGGATCCCGACAAGGGAAAGGCTCGTCGTACATTTGCAACTGCAATGATGGTCATACTGGAACGTTTTGTCATACCGGTAACCATTTTCGTGTAGCAGTGAAACCTATTTTTACCCCAAAAGAAAGGATTCGTAGTCTAAAACGCTCACACACTGTCTTTTTTCTGAATACCGTACACGTGACTTGAAATGTTGAACATTGTTATGGGCCCCGCCCATCACACATTGGGAAAACGGTGTAGCCGCCATCTCATCATATATCACTTAATATTATTGTTATTGCCTCTTGAGACTTCTGAACTCCAGCTTTATATGACTGTGTACAGGCTGGTGGGACACAGCCACGAAAATGTGTTTGAAATTGTGTGTTTCTTGAATATTTTGCTGTTTTACTTGCCTTTTCTACCTCATAGTTCTGCCATCCTGCGCTGGAAATCCATGTCAGAACGGTGCAACATGTCAACAAAGAGGGTCATCATTTCATTGTCACTGTCCACCTCTATATACTGGACACCATTGTGAACAAAGTGAGTCCATAATCCAGGACTGAAACATTAACATCTTCTGATCGTTCTCCCATCCATAAAATTGATGATTGTTCTAAAGTTACGAAATGGTACCTTTCACATGTGACACTCACTGTACCAAGACTTCCTAAGGAGGTATTTTAGTTTGCCCGTACTCACATGCATGATGCCTCCCTACTGGGATTCATCGCTATTATGACATTCAAGCACTAATATGCCACTTCCTCAAACAAGGTATCCTTTTTTCTGTTTTACAATCCATGTGTGTGTTGATACCTTAGTGTGGCTGGATGCAAGAACGTTCCGAAAGTACGCAAACACAGTGCATCAAATCAGTGATCAGATGAAGAACCTGGAGCGAGGGATAGACGCAGCGAGACTTATGGACGTCAGTCGGATCGAAACCTTTCTACAGAGACTTGAGCAAACGGTCATTATTAAGTTCAATTCCACTCTGACTCAGCTTTCATCTGAAGTTGCAACACTGGTAAGCACAGTATTTATATATGTTTTGTGAAACTCTTCTAACGCTCTTCTAACGGGCTACTCTTAAACATTTGGTCCTTTCTTTGTAAAGTATGTTGTCTTGTAATATACCTACTAAAGGCACAGGTACTGAATAAACATCTGTACAGGTGGTTTGTATGACATGTCCAAACCTTGGATTATTCACTTCATCTGTTTCCGGATAATCATGGATGATTTAATGCAAAAAGTAGTTTGCTGATTTATGATAAATTCGGCTGGTAATACTGAGCATTGCACACCAACATTATAATGCACTATTATCTCTATTATGAAGGCGGCAAGGGAACAAGAAAAATACTATCGATAGAAACGTAGTGAACGCATTCATACTACGACACCTGAGGAACACTATGTAGGGATTTTAACGTCGTTTTCAGGTAACGATCAGTCTCTATTATTTGTATTTGTATTTTATTATATTTAAGGATTTCCCAAAGGCTTTGGGCTTGTCGAGGGGATCTCCTGCAAGAAGAATGAAATGACAACTTTATGTAGAGGGAGCAGTTAATCGAGGATAGGCTAAGGAAATAGATCGAGGCATACAACATCTGGTAATTAAGGAGTTGGGATACCGTCAGTGTAATTATGGTCTGATACACACCAACAAACCCGATATGCTCTTCCAACAGGTACAAATAATGACGCTTTATTCAGCTATTGAGGTACTGGAAAAGAAAACAGTCTGAAGGAAAGCAATAATTGACTGTCACCACCAGGATTCGAACCAGAGACCATTGGCTGAAGCCAGTGATGTCCTAACCACGGAGTCACAGTGTAGCTGTCATCTCAGCACAGAAAATTCAACAATTTCTTCGGACCTCGTAACTCAAGCTTCCTGAGTTCCTGACCTCACGGGCTGGCGAGACGCAGACCTCACTGTACCCACTCATTTGCCTTTTTCTTGCAGAATCAGCGCCTGGATGAAGGCCAGAGAAATCAAGAAGGTATGATGTAATGTATTGTATATTATTATTTTGTACGCACACACACAGGCGAATCGTTTCGTCAGAAATGTGAATCTACACGAAGCAGGTATAAGACACAGAACTGGACCACCTTGAAAAAGGTACTTGTGAGTTTCAGGCCAGAAAGCGACCATCAAACACTATCTTGATCTGAATCTACTTCTAGTTATCTTGAATTGGCAAGAAACTCAGTCTTATCACAAAATAGATTATTCCAATACAAGTTAACCATTGTTTTATAGGGATTCCAACCAAGGTAAATTATCAAAGCTCCCTTTCTCCTGACAAGAATCTAAAATCAGTTAGGATTTTTGCAGGATTTCAATGGCTTCATTTCATGCCTATGAGTTTCAATACGAAAAACTGTCTGAGGTCATTTCCACTGTATTGGCCTGTTCAACTTCCTTTTACTAATCCTCTTGTTTGAACTGACCTACTGGTGGTAGATCGGTTGCCCTTTCAAGTGTTCATTTCCACTTACTCACAAACGCATAGCCTTTGGCTTGGTTTACATGTACCGTATGTAAGTATGCAGGTTTGTTTTCAAAAGTGTTCCAACATGCACATTAATTTATGGAGGGTTCCGGACAAAGCGACATACAGTCAGTATCGCCTATAGCGTTGGTGTTTGATTTTGAGCATTTTATCACTATAACTATATATTACTATGACCGATACTGCTTGCAATGTATGCGAGTGGGGTGTCAAACGACTCAGCGCGCCGTGCACATACGCACTACATACATGTACAATGTCATGTAGCTGGCTGTAGTTCCTGACACACAAAATCAGGATTTCCTCATGATGGAGGCATATTTTGGCAACTTGTAAAAGCAAAATCACCGAACAACACTCACTGGACAAGTTCTTCACGAAGAAGTAACACCCTGTTCTCCTCTGACATCGCTTGATTTTACATCACTCACTATAACCGATGCGAAAATAGTGTAATAAACGTCTTTTGAAATATGAATTTGATCACTATAGGCGATATATTACTATAGACGATTATTGCTATATGCGATAACTGTGTATACTTAGTTATGGCAAATGAAAATGACTTTGAGAAATTGATCACTATATCCGGTATATTACTATAGCCGCCAACCTTATAGGCGATACGGACTGTATCAGGGCGCTGCGCTCTCCTTCACTTTTTGACCGCCCCTTCAAAATGAACGCACCATCCTTCAGAGTGCTAGCGCCACTTCTTTTTACATGCATAATAACCAAACACTCAATCTGCGGACAGAACTATGTTCTCTTGCTGCTGTTGTAGTTCTCTTCCATTCTATGTAGGCATGTGCACTTTCATGGAGAAACAAAAGAAAAAACCGTTTCGTCCTTTGTGGACTCATCAGCACAGCACAGTGAACATGAGGCCGAACATGATAGCAATGCAAAATACATTTTCCAAAGCCAGGTTTCAACCAGGCCCGAACTTACCATGCTAGAGTGCTCAAACTGACAAGTCAGACAGCTTTGCATAACGCAAACAGCAAAGGCACAACCCCACATGAGAGTGCTCAACTGCTACAAAAACAAGAGCGAAATGCTCAATCCGTGGAGAGAACCGTTTCATCCTGTGTTGACTCATCAGCGCAGCACAGAGAACCCGAGGCCGCACATCTAAAACAACTATAGTGACACAGCAAATTATGGTGTCACAAAATGGCGATTAAGTCGCAAAGTTTGGATCCAATGATCGCCGTCCCTCTTAACTGTGGTTCTGGCTATGTATATGATATTACCTGAAGCCGAGTGAACATGGGCGAATATTCATTAGTTATACAAACCTTGGCTTCGCCTCGGTTTGTATACTAGTGAATATTCGCCCATGTTCACTCGGCTTCAGGTAATATTAGACTTTAAATAAACCTCTCCATATTCACCCTCTCGTCCCTAAAACCCAACAAACGAGTCCTGTTGGTCATACATGTACATGTACTCAGAACTAACGTAAGTCGTTGTTGCTTCAGTAGCGTATACCGACTGGCGTGTTCTTGCATGAATCGGAGGGCGGCGTGTTCAGAATCTTGTTCAATCGATCGTATACACGTACTGGTGCATGTAGCATGGGAGGTGACGACCTTAGAGAACACGCTCGGGCCAATCACCATGGAGAACACGCTCGTGCAGCTTTGTGGCGGGAGCCAACCATTATAGAGGTTTCGTTTCACGCGAAGATTTGACCAATCCGAGAGAGGTTTCGCTTCACGCGAGGATTTGACCAATCCGCGATCATTGCGCCAATTCGGGAGTCAGTTTATATATAGCGAGCCAAGCGGTTCTACCCTCACTTCCTTTCTTTTCAGGCAGCGCTTCGGAGCTATTGTGTGCCCTAGGAAAATTCTACGCTAACTTCCGTGAACAGGGCTGTTCTGAGTACAAACGAAATTCCTGGCTTGCCGCTTGATCCGCAATCATCGGGCCATTGACATGTTGAGCGTCCAAAACCTTGTTTGCTTGCTGTGAAGATGCTCACTGTTGGTTGATGACTTGTCAGCACCTGGTCACATGTGGATCCAGCGGCAATGGCAAGCAAGGAATTTCGTTTGTACTCAGAAAAGTCCTGTTTACGGAGGTTAGCGTAGAAATTTTCTAGGGCACTCGGCAGCTCCGGTGCGCTGACTGAAGAGGAATCAAGCACAGCTCCGAGTACTGCTCTCTTTACACTTACAGTAAGTATAGAAATGTGGTGAATGTAAGCGGTGAGTATTCCGCAATATTCACCACTTACCGAAGGATGTGACCCAGAGTGCTGACAGTGCTCAACACCACAAAGGCAGAGCGTAATACACAACAGAATAACAAGGACAATCAAGGCTTGTTTGCTGCTACTTTAAGTTTCATGCTCACGCAATCATCAGGCAACATCCGTCAACAATGGATGTTGCCTGATGATTGCGTGAGCATGAAACTTAAAGTAGCAGAAAACAAGCCTTGATTGTCCTTGTTGTTCTGTTGTGTATTCACCACTTATGTAGATAGCCAATTGTATGTGGGTAAATATGGAATGAGGTATAAAGCTCTGATACATGTATACCGGTTGTTGTTATTTTTAGACTTAGGCTGTGTTTACATGAGAAATTTCAACCCGGGGCGAGTTCAGCCCGGGTTGAAAGTCTGTACGATAGACAAAAGAGGTGAGCGTTTACATGAAGACAGTTGATCCGGGTCAAATACTGATATGCCGCCAAAAGTCCACTTCTAGAATCCTGTATGGTCACGTGAATCCGTTCCCGCGAAATTTGCATGTGCAGTGCTGTTCAAACCTGGCGCGAGATACGCACAGAGCTACGTTTGTACGATTTTCTTGACCCGGGCTGATTTCAACCCTCCCGGGTGGGAGGGGGGCGAAATTTCAACCCGGGTCAAGCGCAATGCGTCATGTAAACGCGCCATTCATTTTGTGCACATGGCGGGTTGAAATCTGACCCGGGTCGAACTCAACCCGGGTTGAAACGCCTCATGTAAACACCGCCTTATTAACGTCGCTAACATCCTTCCGCTGTGTTTATCCTGCAGCACATGCGTCATGTGAACGAATTAACCACGGGCAATCAGGATTGTTCACTGGTACAACAACGACTACGACATTCACTGCATACTGTGACCGAGAGACTGATGGAGGTGGCTGGATTGTGTTTCAGAGAAGACAAGATGGCTCAGTGGACTTTTACCGTGACTGGAATGCATACAAACGAGGATTCGGATCAGCGTCTGGAGAGTTCTGGCTGGGTCTAGATACACTACACTATCTGACGTCACAAGCTGGTAGTACTTATGAACTGCGTTTTGACATGGTGTTCAAGACAACTGGAGAGAAGCATTATGCCAAGTGGTCAACATTCCGTGTTGAAGGTGAAGCTAACAATTTCAGACTACACGTTTCAGGATTCTCAAGCCCTACCTTGGGGGACAGAATGAATTACCACAATGGACAACAATTCAGTACTCGAGACCGCGACCATGACTCACACAGTAGTGACTGTTCTAATACATACAAGGGTGGTTGGTGGTATAACGCGTGTCACTATGTCAATATCAATGGATTGTATGGACGGAGTGATGGAGACTCAACTGGTGTAGTGTACTATGACAAGAGTTTGAAGTTTGTGGAAATGAAGCTAAGAAAGCGTGGATAAAACCCAATGCACTACTAGATTCACTACACACACTGTGCTCATTTGCATCAAAATGCAAAATTCTGCACTTTTTTGAACGTTTTCACTGGTTTCCTCTTTTCGTGATGGCTTTTGGCTATCCTTGGATATTATGTGATGCCTTTTTCCACCCATACATTTCTTTTGCAGGACACTCAACCTGCCATTCGATTCTTAATCACCGGCTTCCAAAAAGCCAGTAATGCTTTTGTTTAACATAATATTACTACACACATGCACTAAGGGAGTGTTGACCATTTCAAGGCATTGCGCGCATCTTCATAACCCGCTCCTTCGCCACCATACCACACATTGATCTCCTAGGAGCGCTTTCGTTTTAAACTTCTTATCAGCGAGCAATCGTGGTTACGAGAACACAATCACTCTTTCTAATATACTGTACTTTTCCTGTCTACTACAATCACCCGCATTCTCTCACTAGCCACCTACACATTAACCATCTAGGGCTAAACACTTTACCAGCTGTTTTCTATGTTGTTCTGCGTCACTAATTGCTTAAACCAGACACACTGTAGAATGACTCACGAGCAAAAACTGAAGTTCAAGTGACGGGTAGTCACACTATCCAAAATGTCTATGACATGCATAGTAGCTAACAACTGTTTCATGGTGTCTCTATATCTTTGAATTATGTATGGCTCCTACTTTTATTCCTTAAAATACACAACGGCAAGATAGAGCCTACTGTAGAGAAATTGAGTGGTTTAGTAACAGATCTAATGCGTTGCTAGAACAGCGGAGGCAAATGTATAGTCTGTGCTGGTGAGGTAACATGACCATCATGTGAACAAGGAAAAGATTACGAGGCAGTCAGAGTCTTTTCAGTGATGCATTTCATGTCATGCACGTATACGACCATTGCACCACTACTGAATGGCTCGCAGTCCACTGTTCTATGGTCTTATAGCCTGCACTATTGTTTCCGCTCCTTGCCTCGATCCTCCTCAAATTCAGACTACCAATCTCGGACAACTTAATCTTACATAACGCGAAACTCGCGGTTGCAACATATCTTCATACATTCCCTTTTCTGGTTGAGTTCAAAGTTCTACCGTAGAACGGCATCGCACATTGTCCTGGAAGTGGAGTACTCTATCTGATTATGTCACTCTGTAATGGTTTGTAATTCCACGAAATAAGCATTCTGTGGGCTGTCGTTCGTGGAACTATACTTCGGTAAAGTTTCGATTGGGAAACCATGGCTAGCTGCTCACTGGTCACGCCCAAGAGGCATAGCAGACGGCGTTTCGCAACGTTGCTCGTAATTGCAAATTGCGAAACAAATTCAGCATTTCGAACACTACGCTTTCTGTGGTAATTGATCAAAATCAATGGATCACACCACTGAGTGGCATTTTAGCATATTTTGCGCAAGCCAGCATCAAATACTAGTACAGCTTCTACCTCGAGAGCGTTTCGCTGGAGAGTTCGAATCCCCATTTGATTCTGTATTGTGATGCCATACCAAACATTTATGTTTTTTTCACATACTATCACTACAGACATGCACTAAGTGTTTGCTGGTGTGCTGCGGTGAATGGTCTCGGTCCAGGGAAGCTAAGAGTCTAAGACACTCCTTTCCTCCTTCATTCCCAATCAAACTCGCCACTTCCACTCACGCTGAGTGATTGCGCCCTGCTAGATGGAGATTTGTATGCAGAATACCATTGAGAGCGCCATTTCGTTCCCATAAAAGCACACAAGAACGCGATTGGCCCATATGCTGTTGTTTTTTGGACGGTGAGTCGACTGGTGTTAGTCCGAGAAGGCTGCAATGCTTATTCCCAATCGAACATGATTTAATAATCGGTCACTTGCTCATGCGTTGTTTTGCGTGTTCCTGTCACTGGTGTTGAACGTAGGTGTGAAAGACCCTCAGTTTGTGGAGACTGCCCTATAGAAATATGAATAAAATAATTCAAAAACACAGATGGGACACAGCGACCACACATGAGCTATAGAAAGCAGGGACCACTGTTCCAGGCTAGTTGATGATGATACTGAGGCTGATAAGGGCAAGCATTCACCTTTGCAGCTCTCTGAGGCGAGACGGCTGACTGAGAGCATCAACCGACCAGCATGCATCAGTATTCCATCACAATATGGACAGACGCTTTTTGTAATTAGTTAGAAGCCTGCTGGTGTCGGGTCATCGGGTGTTGGAGGAGGGAGGTGTCTGAGAAACCCGATGTACGGTGCAATCTCGAAGAGGATATGCTGTGGGTGTTAGAGGTCATGAAGTTGGCTGCAATGGAGACTTTGAAAAGCGTTGTAGCAATGGTCTCAGCAACTAACGAGCCGTCAATCCTTCCGGAGCTGGGGGGGGGGGGGAGTATATGAGAGAGATGGGATAGCAGGTTCTGGGGAGAAAGATAATCAATAAATTTAACGGTCAAGTTGCTCCCCGCAGCGAGGTTCGTACCACTGGTCTGCAGTTGATCGCAGAAAAAGCAGCATCGTCGCATGATGGAGGCATGTGAAGGGTTATTTCACCAGCAAGGGTACACATGATCAGTCCTTCTGGCAAAGCATAAGCTTCCTCCTGCACCAAAAAGAGAGTATGGCCGAGAATGTTACGCATGGTCACACTTGCTGGCACAGGGTGGGCTCCTGTTGTGCCTCTGGGTTGGAAACAACTGATTACAGCTGACGCTCGCAGAGATATGGACAGTTAGACATGGATGCAAGGGTCATTGATGAGGTAGCCATTGACTTTTTATGATACGCAACAGTGCGACACATTTTCAAAAGCTCTGGATGGGTCTACTGCTACTAACTGTATTGCTCCGCTATTGATGATAGTGTGCAGCCATTCAGAGTATCCAGCAGGTCTACTATCACAAGACTACTAGTATGGTGAAACCGAGGAAGATCAACAGCACCGCCAGATGGTTCATGATGTTAATGTTGACAATGCTCTCCACTTTGTACCGTGATAATAGGATACAGTGTGACACATTTTCAAAAGCTCTGGCAGAGTCTACTGCTACCATCAGTACTGCTACGATGTTGATGATAGTGCACAGCCATTCAGAAGATTCAGCAGGTCTACTACCACAAGACTACGACTCGTATGGCGGAAAGCGAAGAAGAGCAGCTCCGCCAGATGGTTCATGATGCTAAGGTTGACTATGCTCTCCATGACTTGAATTATTGAGCATCCATGTGCAATACTGGTCAGGCATGCGTTGCTGAGAACCAGGCCCAACGGAATCCGACCACCAAACTCTACATTATGATGGGTTTTCTGCAAGAGAGGGTACAAGATCATTTCCCTCCCCAGAATCTGCGTGAGATCGATATTGTCCTCGTTGTGAACAAAACTATATTCGCCTGTAAACCCTCCAATTCTTGAGCTGATTAGCTTCATTTTATAAGCATTTGCTGAGCTGAATGCTGATCCACAGAAAATGAAAGTGCCGTTAACTACTCAGTTATTTACATGGTTTGCGTTGCTGTTGGCCGCCTCGTTTCGTGGTGCGGCCGCAAAGAGCGTCCTTGCAGGTACCCATTCCAGCACTGCAAATGAAACAGGTAGGAGCACTTGCATGTACATTGAAATTGTCTTTTTCTTTATTGCAGCCAACAGCATAATTATCGCATTTTGACTGGCTGAAAGAGATTATGATCTGAAACAAACCTAGTTGGTGAACTCTTACTGTATGGTCTAGGTGTCTTTGCTTCACTGAGTAGGATACACTACAAGGTTTTGACTAAACGCAAGTAGACCTTTTATTTAACTTACATTTTGTTCTTTTCTTTGCCCAGTTAGCTGATGCTGGGTCGTGTATGGCACGAGTTCTTCGCCTTCTACTATCAACCGCTCTCCGTCTCAGCATCCAGGACACAGAGACTCTGCTAATTGGTCCACGTCAGGTCCACTCCGGCAGTCTTCACACAGATTCACTTTCTGCTCTGTTAGGTGGACGACAGAATTCTGATTTTCTGCAACAGTGTCTTCGTAAGTCAACTCCACATGTCATGATATGAATTGAAGGATTATTCTTGGAACAGGCAACGTTCTATTAGTGCACAATCAAACATTCATCTTTGCGGGTTGTTGCGTTCTGCGGATGGGGAGATAACGATGTGAGTATCTCTATTTCATGAAGCTCTTAGTGCCATAATGAACACTTCGTAGCTGGTGTTTAGATTGCCTGCGTGCTGTCGCTCAGCCCCTGCTCTGGTACTTGAAAACTAGTACTTCTGCAGAGACACTGCTGTGCATTTTTTGCATACGCACAATGACAGTTAAATATCATTCTTTGAAGCTTGGTATGATGGTCCTACTCGAAGTCATCAAATTGTGACTATTTTAAAGGCAATAAAAATCTACGTATTTCGTTTAAGATTACCGTTCTTCACTTAATATGGACACGGTTGTGTTGACTCTTGCATTATACAGGCGGTCAGCTTGAGCAATGCCGTCGCAAAAGCCACCCATGTAGCGATGCTGGAAAGTGCGCTTTCACACATTCTCCACAAGGGAGTGGAGCGTACATTTGCCACTGCGACGATGGACGTACTGGAACGTTTTGTCAGATAGGTAATCATCAATCATTTATTAGAGGTACATGTACCGATGTGAATTTCCAGACCATATCTCTAACCCTGAGCATGCCCTCTGAGTTGAAATTTTGGAATATATTGAGTCGTGTAGTGTATGGTGTAGTCACAGAACATCAGTTTTGCGTGTAACGGGTGGTGATTGTGGGGAAGGGGGGTGCAGCACAAGAATAACTTGAAGCCTTGCGTTTGTTCCAACGTCTCTATGTGGCGCTTGACTTTGGTGCACTTGAGTCTTTACTCGGTACTTGTCACTGTGAGTAGAAGGAAAGGATTGTCACCCTTCCAATCTGTTTATTGGTTCTTAAAAGTTTGAGCACACAATCAAAGAAATTTTGATCAAAAAAGAACAAATTTCACGGTACGCGTGGAACTCAGCTGGAGGTCGAGTTTTCCGCATCCGCAGGAACTGCACATTCTTCTATGGATCAAGGTGCAGGTTTAGCTCCTAAAGCGGTAATAGGAAGAGCTTTGATAGGAGTACCGAAATTGTCTAATTTCTATCTGAGTGCGATCTGAATATCTTATACCTTAAATAAAGGAAAATAGTTTGTGCTACTTCCATCAAATTCTTCCTTTGTTTGCCATCTCTACCTTCCAGTACTGCCATCCTGTTCTGGTAATCCATGTCAGAACGGTGCAACATGTCAACAGAGAGGATCATCATTTCATTGTCACTGTCCACCACTGTATACTGGAAAACGTTGTGAGGAAAGTAAGTGCACACAATTTATTGAGGGATATTACATTAGGAGCATGTTTGGGAGCGAAGAATTTCAGCCCTGCATCTCTTTTCTTTCATGCGCGTTTTGGTTTTACTATCTTGGGAGCTCTACTTTTCCTGCCGACTTTAATTCACACTTGACTGGCGAACCACTGCCTGCCATGCAGAGCACACAAGAAGTCAATCGAACCTTACACACGACAAACCTGAAAGAAAGCACTTTTCCCTGGTCAATACACAGTGTTTCGGAGAATTCACACCTCATTAGTTGAGCTTGCGTTGACTAAACACATTTCGCGGTTCGCGTGAGACTCGGTTGAAGGGCGAGTTTTCCCAATCCGTAGGAGCGTCACCACCCGCAAAGATCATAGCACAGGTGCAGATCCTAAAGCAGTGGGAGTTGACAAGATCAGACTGACCAAAGTGGTCGAAGACAGAAAAGTCCCATTCGATGCATCCATGCTTCCCTCGTGCCAAGCCATGAGTTCCTAATTAACTGTGGGTTTGAAACATCCTTCCGCTCCCAAGCAGCACTAGAACCTGGTAATCTACCCTCTGTTACTCAGTCATGGTCTTAGACCATTCCACTATGCCTGCCTTGACTCAGTTATTGGTAACTCTGCTCCAATCGCATTGCAAATGTGTAGTCCTCTCCAAACCAATGTTACAATACATTCACATAATTTCACACAGCTACTACAGAATGGAACATACTAGTTGATATCCAGCCCTGCCCTAGCTCCCTGCGCTTCTCTTACTTTTCAGTTCCCCTTTCATTCTTTTTCTTTCTCCCCTCTTGCTCTATTACCGCCATGGCTGGCTATCGCCCACATCACCTTTTCCTTGGCTAGTGCCACGTGATTGTGAATAAAATTATTATTATTATTATTATTTTGCTTGTTCGCGTTGGCATCAACCTGCACAAAGCAGGTATATAGCCTTCGCTTAAGCTGCCATAAAAAAGAAAGCTCATCCTAAGCGAGAGGGCTAGAGGGAAATATAACGATAACGAGATACAGAATACAAAGAAATCCATTGAGCTCAACGAATAAAATAAATAAATAAATAAAATAGACCAATACATCACTAGTAAAACCAAAAACGGTGACAATTTGATTCCAGGCGAATAAACACCTCACGAACTCCTGGAAATTTCATGTATCAGCGTCACTCATGAATGTATAGACCAAATGTTGAGGACCGTTGCCCATTCACTACGTGGTTGCCTCATTTTCACGAAGATATGTCATGATTCAAAAGATGTGAATGGTGTAACATGTGACCACATATTGCATGACCAAATCATTACTTTTATGTGTACTGTCCAGAGTGGTTGGACGTAGCTAAGTTTAAACAGCAATCCAACACATTGCATCAAGTCAGTGAAGATGTTCAACAACTGAGACATGAACTGCAAACTGGAAGACAAGACGATACCGATCGTATGTATACGTTTCTTCAACACCTGGAGAAGCGAGTCCTTAAAAACGTCAACTCCACTATGGCTCATCTGTCATCCGAAGTTGCCTCACTTGTGAGTTCATGATATGGCATATTCCGTAATGTGTGGCACATGTGTCCACACTGATATTTTTCACATACCAGTAATTCAGAGCCTGGAGTAGAACAATGGTTTGAAGACTCCAAATACAGAATGCATGCACGGTGACGTGTAAATTAAAGTTGCAACACGTGACAGACCTTTGTGCAGCTAGCTAGAGCGTGTGATTTTATACGAGTGTTGGCCACCATTTGCCAGAATGAGATTGAACCAGAGATGTAAACGTTACGTAAAAGGGAGTAAAAGGAAAAAAAGATGGTCTGATGAAAATTTGGTACATGTACCCAGGTTAGACTATTCAACATTTCCTCACACTTCGAAACTCACGCCACCTGCGAAACCAAGCAGGTTGGTGTTACGCACCCCTCACTAGATCCACAAACGTCAAGCACACAACAGTGCAGGGGGAACCCAATGGCATGATCTATCCAAACCATTTTTGAATCTGAATTGCCATACAGTTGTCTATGATTAATATTCTACTAATCAATACAGTCTACAGTAATCGTGGTTTGATCTCTGCGCTCTGGTCGCTCTTTGTGGTGTTTGCTGTAGAGTGAACGTCTAGACCAACTGCAAGAGAATCAAGAAGGTACGGTGACTATATAAGGTTTGCTAATAATGCATAAAACGGAAGCTGATACGAAGTAATAATTCAATGTCGGAATAGTGAATGCATAACTCAAGTATAGTCTATTTGCCTATTTTGCAGTTGTACGCGTGTGTTCACCACATTGGCCTCGTTCGTTCCATTTTTTGTTCATTTGGTTTATGCGAAGACTCGCCCAGCTTGGTTGGTGATATGATGTCAGCGCGAACAGGCATGTAATAATAATAATACTTAAAAACGAAGGAGAATGAAGTTGAAGACACCACTGCAGCTGTACTTATGGTTGATAAATATTGTGGTAAAGACACACCTGGCAGTATGGCGGTAAACACACGCCTGCCCACACACGCTCTCTAGGCTGCAACGTTCTGGCACAGAGCTCTCCTTCTCACCATCGATTCAGTTCGCGCCTGGCGCCTCGTCGAGTCAAGCTCCGTATGAAGACATCCCAGAAGAAGATTGCCTGATGAGTCCAGCGGGGACGAAACGTACGTCGCAATTGAGCTATGTCGTTGCTGTGTCATCATCTATGTGCCATGCGCTACTTGATGTACCAGCCTGCTATGCCGGATACCGCCAGCCATGCATCGACCAGGCGCCAGGCGCGAACTGATGGTGGTGGTGGTGAGAAGGAGAGCTCTGTGCCAGAACTTTGCAGCCTAGAAACCGCGTGTGTGGGCAGGCGTGTGTTTACCGCCATACTGCCAGGTGTGTCTTTACCACCATATTTATCAACCATAAGTACAGCTGCAGTGGTGTCTTCAACTTCATTCTCCCGAGTCAAGCTCCGTATGAAGACATCCAAGAAGAAGATTGCCTGATGAGTCCAGCGGGGACGAAACGTACGTCGCAATCGAGCTATGTCGTTGCTGTGTCATCATCTATGTGCCATGCGCTACTTGATGTACCAGCCTGCTATGCCGCATACCGCCAGCCATGTATCGACCACGCGCCAGGCGCGAACTGATGGTGGTGGTGGTGGGAAGGAGAGCTCTGTGCCAGAACTTTGCAGCCTAGAGAGCGTGTGTGGGCAGGCGTGTGTTTACCGCCATACTGCCAGGTGTGTCTTTACCACCATATTTATCAACTAAAAAACGAAGGTAAGTTTTTTAAGTATTATCCGCTTCAGACCCCTTAAAAAATAATAATAAGTGAGGGTGTGCGCATGAGTCGAGATTGTGTGCGTTCGTCTCGTAATAACAAGTCTTCAGTATGCAATCATTTGGTTTCTAGTACTGACTGTTGTCGTACTTATTCTGATCTTTTGCAGTTACAAGTTTTGGAAGCTGTTTGTCAGCGCATTCATAAGCCGAATTTGTGTGTCCAGAAAAATAATAATAATTATAATTTAAACTCGGATACTAGGCCAGTAATACAATGTAAAAAGAGAAGAAACACATGACAACGAGTTATGCAGTTTTGTGCCCTATTATCGCATTTTCTGACCGTTTATCATCTTGTTACAGCCGTGGATATTTGCTGCGTAACTCGTTCTCATGTGTTTCTTCTCTTTTTTAATAATAATAATAATAAATCTGAATAGATGTAGTAAGAGCAAAGGGCGCCAATTCGGTACAGAAATAGTAATGAGGGGTATTTTCCACGATTGTTGAAAACTAATATGGGCGCCACCACCTTTAGATATAGCGATGTAGAACAGTTGAGTAGTAAGTTGTGAACGGTACCATTGGGTTGTTCAATAATGCATGACATGTGTCGGCCAAAAGGGTCCATGGAGAAGGATCTGTCTGAGGTATTGCATAGACTGCATTAGGCACAATTTGTTAACATTGAGCATGGGTCTACAAATTCTTGCTTGAAGGACATCTGGCACAGACAATTTCCCTGCAGCCAGCCTGAAGCCCCATATTTGAACTCCATGCTCTATAACTGGTCGTACGTAGGATTTGAAGAGCAGGCTGATGTAGTCGGGTGGTAGTCGGTGACCCATGTACATGTGGTACAGTAGGGCAGCGCGTGGGCTATATTTTCTAGATACATGCAGAAAGTGTTCATCAGAGTTTAGATCGGGCGTTATTACTATTCCTGGTGTTTGCGTGGTGTGCGTGGATCTTGATAGTACAACTGTCACCAGCAACGCCAGGGCAGTATTACCATTAAATTTTCAAAGGTGTACGCGAGTATGCAATTATTATTGGGTTTGGTGTTGCCTGATGATTGCGAGAGCCTGAAACTTGAAGTAGCAGCAAAATAGCCTTGATTATCCTTGTTGCTCTGTTCTGTAATTGGGTATCGCAAATACTGGAGATTTGCACACCTATCCACCTGTGTCTAGTCGGTACTCAATGGCTGCTGTAATTTGAGCAGATAACTGCACACTACAACTACAGTTGCATAGTTGTATCTACTCGTTCACCTTGTACGTTTTTGAAAGATCTGATCGTTCTTCATTTCTCGATTCTTTGCTCTGCAGTATCCTTTCCCTGTCGGAGGACAAGCCAGGGGCGGTCAGGTCTATTCAATAGCGGAACACCCACGGCAATATTCACTGCATACTGTGATCAAGAGACTGATGGAGGTGGCTGGACTGTGTTTCAGAGAAGACAAGATGGCTCAGTGGACTTCTACCGTGACTGGAATGCATACAAACTAGGATTCGGATCAGCGGCTGGAGAGTTCTGGCTGGGTCTAGATACACTACACTATATGACATCACAAGCGGGTAGTACATATGAGCTGCGTATTGATATGGTGTTCAAGACAACTGGAGAGAAGCATTATGCCAAGTGGTCAGCATTCCGTGTTGAAGGTGAAGCTAACAATTACAGACTACACTTTTCAGGATTTTCAAGCCCTACCTTGGTGGACAGAATGAGACGCCACAATGAACAACAGTTCAGCACTCGGGATCGGGATCATGACAGATTGACAGGGGACTGTTCCAATTCCTACAAAGGTGGATGGTGGTACAACCGGTGTTATGACGCAAACCTCAATGGAGAGTATGGACTTCACGATGGATTACCACGTGGTATAGTGTACAAATATCCCGGAAACAATTACTCGATTTTGAGGTTCGTGGAAATGAAGCTACGAAAGCAGCTCTAAAGCTCAAATCTACTCTCCTGGTGTATTCTAGAGCGACATTAACCATTTCAAGTTTTCATTGGCTTACCAATATCACATTCCGGCTCCCTTTTAGTTTTAGTTCTTTCTGTCACTTGCTCCGTGAAGAGATTTTGGAGGGTAGCATTGTGATAGTAGGGTCTGTTGGTTTCGTGTCCAAGAAGTCACATGTATATTCATTCGCTTATGTAGCCAGGATCTATGCATTCAGAAAGAGGTGCACGATGTTGCACATGCACGTTTCACTTATTTTTAAACTACTTACATGTACATGTACATCTTCACGTTCACTTTATAAACTGTCATAACCCACGGAATGTGCGATATTTTTTTAGTTCGCCTCCTTTTCCTTCTCAGTAATTTCATTCATTGTTGACTTCAGCGCCTTTCCTACGTACTTCCTCCGTTAACAAAAAACTTCGTGATGGATTTTGATGGATATGAAAATGCTTAGAACAGGTCAAGAACAGTTTGTATCGACTGCAAATGACTGGACGAAGGTGAATCAGCCTATGTACAGCGTCTTTACAAGAGAAACTGTTCGCAGAAAGAGCAGAGAGTTCAGTTTGCGTCGCTTTCGCTCGACTCATTTTTGACCTGCGTCGCTGTCGTCATCTGCTGCACGCGAGTCGTCATCTCTCTCGAGTCGTTGTTCAGCTCGTTTCAGCCTTACCTCGGCTTCTTTGATCACACTCCCCTGACCTTGATGTCGCCGTCGCTGAAGTAAGTTGGCTTTCAAGCTGCGTGATCCGCCGCGATGGCGATTACTCGTTTCCACGAGGGAGTCGTGAAAAATATTTTACGACTCCCTGGTTTCATCTTCGCTCTCCAGAACTCCGCGAAACGAAGAGTAAAGGCACATCCAAACTGATTTCATTTTCTCTAATGGATACCCCTGCCAGCACTGAACGGTAGCGGCTAGCAAGTCCAGTCGACTTTCTTTAGCCATGAGACTCGCATCGGACTGCAGACTTCTTTCTGAAAGAATGCATGGTCATCAGCATTCGAATCTGGGCTTTGCGCAGTTTGAACAAGAACTTGAGTTCAGAATTAGTTTTCATTGAGCCGTGCGATCGGAGCAGCTCCTTGTTCACTCGCTCATTATGTGGGCTCGCTGCTCCGTTTTATCGTTCTCTAACTCACTTAGTGCCGAAGTGGTAGAGAGGCCAAGCAGCGCAATATACCCTCGGAGAAGTGGTATTTCAGTTTCGCTCGCCATGACTGTCATCACCTACGTTTCCACAGCGCAACCATCGATTCTGCTCGACTTATTGTGAAAGGTCGATTTCCTTGCATCGTACTTCTTTCATGGCATGCCAGGGATTCAGGGAAGGCCAAGAAAGTGATTGCGACTCATTGCACGGCCGTTTGTGCCCAAATCAGCCCCTCAAAAATCCATCATGAAGTTTTTGTTAACGGAGGAAGTAATTGTTTTAAAATATATTTGTACTCGATCATAGTGCACGGTGTTTTGAACTGGCTCTAGAAAAGAAGAAAATAGCTGGTACTTGTGGAAAAATGTGCTGCGTTTGCGTAGTTGTTCTTACTGCGATAGGTTCTAACAATAATGAGATGCCTTTTGTTGGCTCTTCTGCCTGGATTTCATTGACAAATGCGTTAAGCCCATGGATCCCCTTCCATGAGTGACATGCGAACTATAACTATTACCATTATTGGACTCGGATGGACAGCCAAGGTTTAATTTGTACAAAAGAGAACCACTGCTGTACCGTGCACTGTTAAAATACTTTAACAGCAATAATAATGATAATTTATACAAAAGAGAAAGACCAAGGAACTACAAGTTACGCTATACTATACTATCCACTAACACCACCAGTTACTAAACAATCAGCTCATGCGATAACATTGCACGACACTGACCGACGGTACTGTCGTTCTACAACTAACTGGCTAACAGCTGTAGCACATCTTGGATGCGCACTCCAACAGCCTTCCAACTTGGAAGGTTCTAAGGTATGACCGTATTGTCCAATGGTCTTGCCAGTATCGTCATCGAAATGCATGAACATCCGCCAACGTCCTTCACAGCTGAGACTTTCAGCTCGTGCTTATCTTGGTTGCGCTCACCTTCCCTCGTTATTTCTATAACTTAGAACCTTCCAAGTTGGAAGACTGTGGGAGTGCGCCTCCAAGATGTGCTAGAGCTGTCATAAGTAGCCAGTTAGTTGTAGAACGACAGTACCGTCGGTCAGTGTCGTGCAATGTTATCGCATGAGCTGATTGTTTAGTAACTGGTGGTGTTAGTGGATAGTATAGTATGGCGTAACTTGTAGTTCCTTGGTCTTTCTCTTTTGTATAAATTATCATTATTATTACTTTTAAAGTATTATTATAGTGCACGGTACAGCAGTGCAATAGGGCTAGTTTGTTGGAACTCTGAGTTTCTTGTTCATTACAGTGCAATCATCAGACAACATTTAAAATGTTATCTGATGGTTTAAAGGATGGTATAGCCAGTATTGGCCGGCAGTACTGGCTACGCCAGTATATATATATACAATGTAGATTGGACCCAAACACCAAAAGCTATTTCGGCCACATAGCCATAGGCAACATCAGTACTGCTACGAGCTTTTTAAAGAACGGTGAAATCACCGTTAGCTGAAAAAGTCGGCGTGGAGACAAGCAGCCTAATATCGATGAAAGTAAAGTGAGCGCTATCATACCACGAGAACAATGGAACAATATTTTAAGATTTGAACGTCGTTTTCATGTGATTATCATCAGAAATCGTCATTACACTGAGTGTTGGACTACAAAGGAAAGATAATTATGGTACCATAAAGTCGACATTATTAGATCTAAAAATAATACAAGAACCTACGTTCTAATGCCCCATCAACGACTCCCATTTCTACGAATACGATGCTGCGCCGCACACTAGCTGATGTGAACCCTTTCTTTCTTTTTATATTGCTGGCCCTTACAGCTCTATCTTTTGTTTTTTTGGTGCGTGTTTCTGGCCGTGATTCCCAGACCGCAGGTCGGCAGAGCCATCAATGCCCCACCATCACTGCTGCGCCTTGGTGCAGCCCCCAATCAGTAGTTGTCTCTTTTGACCTTGTCTCAGTACCATTGTCTTTCATTATTTTTTACGAGTTTGGTATGTGAACATAGTAGAAAAAGAAAGAAAACCACTAATATTCTAAAGCTAGCACTATTGTCTTGATGATTACCACATGAAAACGACATTCAAATCTTAAAATATTGTTCCATTGTTCTCGTGGTATGAGTGCGCTCGCTTTACTTTCATTGATATCACCAGTAGTTCGGCTTGCTTGAAAAAAGTTAAAATTAAACCGAACTACCGGTGATTTCACCGATTCCTTGCCGTAAAATTCAAAAACTGCCCGCAAAACTTCAGTCACTTTTTCATCACCTGTCCCACCGAAAAAAATAATGTTGGTGGTGCAAGAAGAAGCTTGTCGTTTGGAGTGACAAGTAATCACCGCTGCTTTCCCTTGTAAGAGTCTATCATACATTTCTTTCTGCATCGTTGGGAGTAGTGTTGGAGTAGAAGTTTATTTATTTATTTTATTCCAAGCAATACATGGCTGGGGCAGCCAATGACCACTTGTGGCGATTGCAATAAAAACAATTGCTGACTATCGTCGCGGAGGTGCTAGCTTTCCTGTGGACGTACATGTACATGTATGAGTTTGGACGTATTTCCGCGTGGTGGATTAGAAAACTTGTAAGAAAACCCGAGAAGGAGGATGGGGACATGTCCTCAGTGCTATAACTTACATAAGATTTGTTCTACTACATTTACATGTATCTGCCTGTGTATAGTTCTTGTAATCGAGGACGTGGCTCGCAGTTTTATCAGCGCTTGTAATTAGACTATTTTTAAGATGATCATTCAAAAACATTTGTAGCGTCAGGGGTGATGGCCCTCGTCTTCTGGGATGATGGCGTGCCTAAGCGGTGCTGCCACATGAACTCTTCTAAGGTGAGGCAATGTTGACTTGACGGAGTTTTAGTGGCGTGGCTCGTTGGTAGATCCATAAATCATTTGATTCTCGACCATTTTCAGGGGTATGCCAACTTCAAGGTACCCTTCAAAAACTTTTTCAAGGGCTTTACACAATCGACCTACTCCCCAAAGGAAACCTACCTGTAAACATTTGAGCGATGTCGGAGAGATGGACTTTGCACATATTGCCTGGTTTTCTCATACATTAAAGTTGACAACATACGGGAATGCTTGAAACACAGACTGACATTCAAAAGTCGGTGACTAGATGATTCAAATTTGATGGGTTTTCTGAAAGACCTTCCGCGCCAATAGCGCACCTATCGTGGTACCCAATGGGCTTAAAATGGTGGCAGAAGACGTTTTGGAACGGAAGGGACTAGCGGCAGCGATAATTCCCCCTCGAATTGGGCTGGTGTGAACGCAGTCATTAGGTTGGTCACAGTATTGAAGGTTATATCCGCATCCAAGGTGGTATCCAAGGTGATATGCAAGGTGATACACTGGGATATTTGTCACACATGTACATGTAACATGTTCTGTGTGCCTGTCTCCTAGAGTCCTCTTCGAAGTCTCACTTTGCCCTAAAGTGTTTAGATGAATATTGATCTGACGCTCATCATTCGCTCCCCTGTCACAGGGCAGTTCTGTCAGTTTGGTTCAGCAAATTCAAATAAAGCTGCTCATGTTTGCCGATGACAAGACTTTGTACGCTTCCTCACGAGATCCAATAGTATGCGCCGATGTTGTCTCCTCGGCTGTTGCTAAGCTACACAGTGAACTAAGATCACTGGGCATGAGCGTTAATGTTGACAAAACCGTGGTCATGAGGATCTTGCCGAAAAATGCTCCTGACGTACAAAGACCAGTTCTTGTTGATCTGGGTGGTACTACCTTTTAAAAGGGGAGTGAGTGAAACTCGCTGCCTTGGTATCCTTATCGATAACAAGCTCTCATTTGTTCCACACGTAGATTACCTCGCCAGCAAGGTGTCACGCAAGATAGGCGTGTTGCGACGCACCTTCCGCCAAAGGGCAGCATTTGCCCGTCGCCAGTACCTGCTTAGTGTGATTCAGCCCGACTTTGAGTATTGTTTCTCTGTTTCCGCATCTCACCTATCAGCACAGTCCAGGGAGAGATTGTTTACTCTGTTACGTAGAGCTGCAGGAGTTACCTGCGGGGTGTAGGTTCATGCTTTATGCCATGCTGCTGTTGCACCCCTTCTTGCTTGTCTTCAAATAACACACCTTGAATGTCGATACATTCATCAGTTTCTTACGTTTACGTTTATTTGTCATATTTCTCAGTCTGCATCATGCTTGAGCCTTTTTTTTTTACCTTTACCCACCTCTAAGGCCTCGGTCACACTACGGCAAAAATGCTGCGTCAGCGTCAGAATCATGAGCTTTTCCTTGGCGACTGACGCAAACGCGGGAAGGTTGAGCGTCAGACGCAGCAAGCGTCAGACGCTGCTGCGTCTGACATGGGGAAATCGGCTGCGTTGCCGCTGATGGGAATGACGCTTGGCGGAAAAACAGTGTCTTTCAAGTAAACTTTGATTAGTTTCAAGACAGTTGCTTGAGTTGAGCAGTCATTCGACATTCGTCTCTTCAAGGTTTGTTTTGTTACCTCTTTTTTTCGACATGAGTCCGTGGACCGACGAGGCCGAGGCTGCTCTGCTCCGAACCTAGTACCTGGCGGAAGAGCGAGGCGTTTTCTGAGAAGAAAATGATGTCGAGAAAAAAACAGTTGTTTGAGTGGATCATCGGCCAACTGGAGCCTGTTGACTTGTGAGTGTTGTGTTGTCGTCAAAAGCCCCAAAAAGGACAACCAGTATGACGAAGTCAGGAGAAACACAGCTGCGATGCGGACTTTTCTTGCCTGATCCATGACACTGCAACTGGAAATGGCTTCAAATTCGGAAAGAAACAACAACGATCGTGCACGCGTGTTTCGTCTTCTTGTAATCAAAATTCAATGAAAAATTTGAAAACTTTGTCCCACAATTTTTTGGTATAATAAGCAAAAGGCCGGTTTCCGTGGGAATCCGTGTCGTCATTGAGTTTCCCTGGTGATATTGTGACGTAGACAAATGCGTCAGGCCGCGGCAGTCATGAGCTGCAAAAACACAAAACAGTGTGTGACCCCGCGTCTGCATCAAGTGCTGCGGCTTGACGCTGCGTCCAGCTTCAAACTTGCCGTAGTGTGACCGAGGCCTAAGCGGTCAAACCGTGGCCACAATTGCACCACTACTGAATGAATCGCAGTCCACTGGTCTACGGACTCATCAGCTGAACCAAAAGGTGGTGTTATTGTTTCCCCTCCTTGCCTCGCTCCTCATTAATTTCAGACTACCAGTAATTGACGACTAGATCTTACATAAACTGACACTCGGATTTGTAACATATCTTCATACATTCCCTCTACTGGCTGCGTTCAATACTCTGCGTTCAAGGGTATGGCGCATTCTCGGGCCAGTGAGGTACCCTACTTGATCACGTCACTCTGGAATGTCATGTCATAAATTTTCATGAAAAGAGCCTTCTGTAAATTGTTGTTCGTGGAACTGTACTACAGGAAAGTTTCAGATGTG